TAACCCGAGTATTCTACGTATGCAAAACTGGCTTGCACCCGTTGTATTTGCACGTAGAGCTTATCACACCCGATCATCACGTGGTGTCTCGGCACGACAAACTGTAGCAATAGTGCATACTCAGGGAGAACACTTGTACCTTTGAAATTTAGTAAGGGATCATTTTATAATGCTACCAACATTCTAAGCAAAATAAGATGCATAAAGGATAAACATCACATGCAATCAAAATATGTGACATGATATGGCCATCATCATCTTGTGTTCATGATCTCCATCAACGAAGCATCGTCATGATCTCCAACGTCACCGGCGCGACACCTTGATCTCCATCGTAGTATCGTTATCGTCTCGCCACCTATTGTTCCTACGACTATCGCTACCGCTTAGTGATAAAGTAAAACAATTACATGGTGATTGCATTGCATACAATAAAGCGACAACCATATGGCTCCTGCCAGTTGCCGATAACTTTGTTGCAAAACATGATCATCTCATACAACAATCTATATCACATCATGCTTGACCATATCACATCACAGCAAGCCTTGCAAAAACAAGTTAGACGTCCTCTGCTTTGTTGTTGCAAGTTTTACGTGGCTGCTACGGGATTCTAGCATGAACCGTTCTTAACTATGCATCAAAACCACAACAATTTTTCGTCAAGTGTGCTGTTTTAACCTTCAACAAGGACCGGGCGTAGCCACACTCAATTCAACTAAAATTGGAGAAACAGACACTCACCAACCACCTATGTGCAAAGGACGTCGGTAGCACACAAAGTGTTCCTCCGGTATTCGGAAGTTGCATAATCTCATAGTATGAGGAACTTGTATAAGTCATGAAGAAAGCAGTAGCAATGGAACTAACACGATCATAATGCTAAGGTAACGAATGGGTCATGTCCATCACATCATTCTCCTAATGATGTGATCCCGTTCATCAAATGACAACACATGTCTATGGTTAGGAAACATAACCATCTTTGATTAACGAGCTAGTCAAGTAGAGGCATACGAGGGACTATATGTTTTGCCTATGTATTCACAATGTACTAAGTTTCCGGTTAAAACAATTCTAGCATGAATAATAAACATTTATCATGAATTAAGGAAATAAACAATAACTTTATTATTGCCTCTAGGGTATATTTTCTTCAGTGTCATGTAGTTGACGTTCACATAACACCACTAGAGGAGAGACAACATACATCTCATCAAAATATCGAACGAATACCAAATTCACATGACTACTTATAACAAGACTTCTCCCATCTCCTCAGGAACAAGCGCAACTACTCACAAATCATACTCATGTTCATAATCAGACGGGTATTGAATAGCATTAAGGATCTGAACATACGATCTTCCGCCGAATAAACCAACTAGCATCAACTACAAGGAGTAATCAACACTACTAGCAACCCACAGGTACCAATCTGAGGTTTTGAGACAAAGATCGAATACAAGAGATGAAGTAGGGTTTGAGAGGAGATGGTGCTGGTGAAGATGTTGATGGAGATTGACCCCCTCTCGATGAGAGGATCGATGGTGATGATGATGGCGACGATTTCCCCCTTCCGGAGGGTTGTTTCTCCGGCAGAACAGCTCCGTCGGAGCCCTAGATTGGTTCCACCAAGGTTCCGCCTCGAGACGGCGGCGCTTCGTCCCGAAAGCTTCTTTATGATTTTTTCCAGGGCAAAAGACACCATATAGCAAAAGATGGGCATTGGGGGGTTGCCAGGTGGCCCACGAGGCAGGGGGCGCCCTGGGGGGGTAGGGCGCGCCCTCCATCCCCGTGGCTGGTTTGTGGCCCCCCTCTGGTGCTTTCTTTGCCCAATATTTTTAATATATTTCAAACTGACTTTCGTGGAGTTTCAGGACTTTTGGAGTTGTGCAGAATAGGTCTCTAATATTTGCTCCTTTTCCAGCCCAGAATTCCAGCTGTCGGCATTCTCCCTCTTCATGTAAACCTTGTAAAATAAGAGAGAAAAGGCATAACTATTGTGACATAATGTGTAGTAACAACCCTTAATGCAATAAATATTGATATAAAAGCATGATGCAAAATGGACGTATCACTACCGGTGGCGGAGGAGGAGCGTGCGTGAATGTCCCTTTTGTTCTCATGCTCATACATGTGGAGAAACACCACCCTTATAAGGAGGTCCAACTCCCACCAAACTAGCAACATGGGACTAAACTATGGCTCCACCTCTTGCCTTGCACGAATGGTCTAAGTGGGCCTCTAGGATTTATTTGGAATTTCTGAAATTGCTATTGGGCTGGCCCAAAGTAGACTAAATTCCAGCACCGTGCACTTGAACGAAGGAGAAAATCACTAGTTGGAAACGAAGCTAGGTGGCGATGATCGGCCGGCCGCAGTTGCACTTTCGGCATGCGCTTGGAGGGGCTCGTTGCACCGCCATGCGTGTATGCCTATTATTGATGGGGAAACGTTTGCTGCCGGACGACCAGCTAACAACTCGGTCGGTCGCACGCGAGCCGCGCGATTGAATCACGATCGTGTCTCGTACACATCCTCTCGCGCGGGCCAAGCGCCATCCTTCCCCTTCCATTAGCCTTATCCCCTTCCCCACCCTTCAATCTTATCCGATGAGTAAATCAAACCCCATCCCCTTGCAGCCCCTTTCTCATGGCTGATGGGCAAGCCCACTCCATGGCTGCTCTGCTCCCGTGTGTCCTCACCTAAGCTTCTCACGGCTGCGAGCCGGGACCCTGGCGCCCTTCCTAGTTGCATCTCAGGCTTGCCGCGAGCTGCGATGGGCAGGCGACGGTGGGTGACCACGGCCGGCGAGTGCTACTGCTACAACTGCTACAGCCAGATGCTGGGACCAGCACCCAGTTTTGCTACCACCGCGGTGACCGTTGCCGTAGACCCCGAGAGAAAGGAGGTACATGAGCTGCAACCAGCAGCAAAAAAGCTGGAACCGGCTAAAAAGAGCTACCACCGGCGAGAGCATAGGGTATGAGCGGCGACGCCGGCCACTGCCATTGCTGCAACGGAAGAAAAAAAAACTGGAACCGGCGACAAAAAAAGCTACATCCGTCGACAAATAAAGCAGGCACCGGCGATAGTATGGGCTACAAGGTACGAGCACAATGCCGCCACTGCCGATGCTTCATCCGGAGGAAAAAAAGCTACGACCGGCGACAAAAAAGTTGGCACCAGCGTGAGCAATGAGCCGTCCGCGCGCTAGCAATGTTGCAACCGATGGAGAAAGGTTGTATCCGGCCAGAACGACAGCTACTTCCGGCAACGGCGGGGGCCGTTTTTTTGCTGCAACCAGCAACTGCGGTAGCTACCACCGGCGACGGCGGCCGTGTTTTTGCTGCAACCGGCGAGAAAGACAGCTACCTCCAATGACGGCGGGGGCCAGTTTCTTTCCTGCAACCAACAACTGCGGCAGCTACCACCAGCGACTGCGGCCGTGTTTTTGCTCCAACCTGCGAGAACGACAGCTAGCTCCAGCGATGACGGGGGCCCTTTTTTTGCTGCAACCAGCAATTTCGGCAGCTACCACCAGCGACCGACACAACTACGAGTTGCACGGACGTTTCTGCGCATGGCGACGAGGAAGATAGTACTAGCGGCGGCGCGAGCTGTCTATCTGCGAAGGGGATGGCATTCGCGACCGCGGTGACGGCGACTTGTGCGGCGAAGGGGAGTGCGTGCAGCGAAGGAGCGGTTGACTTTTTCAGAGATAGAAGGCAAGGAAAGAGACGCACTAAAGGAAGCAAATCAGACGGCGCTAATCACGTTTATTGGATGGCTAGCGCTCGACCGGCCCAAATTTGAACCGGTGCACCAATACATAGCAGTCGCCTTATTGGTTTGAAAATTATGTAACGTACATTTTGTTCATGTGCAAACTTCTAGTTTAACTTCATCTGTAATGATATGCAGCCTCCCTTGAATGAATGTAGCCAGCACTAACTTGATGCTAGATACATTCATTTGAGGAACAATTTTTTTTTGAACGGGAAAAGTATTTAGGAACGGAGGGAGTACTGTATATGCATGAAAGGAGTGACGAACCAAGTGGGATAACTTGTGCATATTGAACACTCTTAAGTTTCTATACATATGTATATCCCCGATCACTAGCTTATTGTATATACTCTACTTTGCAAGCTAGAGATGCAGCACTTTTACACCTCAGCGAATCCTTGATACTCCTACTACCGTAGACTGTAGTGCTAGTATATTCCTCGCACAAAAGGTCCACGTGATACGGGCGTGCGCGACATGAGACCTCAGTTTACTCACCATATGCTTATTATACAAGTATATGTATATGCATGAAAGGGGTGACGAACCAACTCTGCATGCATGCATGCATGCAGTGTGAACATGAAGAAACTTGTGTGCTCTGGCCCCGACCACCAGCTGCCCATTGTATATATGCTACTTTGCAAGCTACTAGGAGATGCAGCACTTTTACAGCTCAGCAAATCCTTGATACTCCTATACTACTGTAGACTGCAGTGGTAGTGTATCTTCTTCGCAAGATGGTTCACGTGTTACGAGTAGTATAGAGGATACGGTGTACTACAAAACCATTCGCCGACATGTGCTGCATGCATGTTTGTCATGCCAGACACGGCCGGACAGAGGGGACACGCGTAGTTTCCAGGCAGACTTTCAACTTCAAACTTTGCTGCTCTAGGCTCAAGAATCAAGATGATACTACTAAGTACTCTGATGTGTAGTGTGTTCTTCACCCGCACGCTAACTAGCAAGGCCTCATCACACCACATGCCCGGTGCAACCTGTACGTGGGGCGCCTTCCTCGCCATTGCCTAGTCATTTCGATCTATAAGTCTATAAGTATGCCCTGTTTGCCTTTGCATCTCTGCATTGCAGTAACAGTTCTAATCCTAGTAGCCTTGTCACTCGTGTAGTAAAAGAGTCCCTAGTACTCAGTAGTATCTTGTCAAACAAGCGTACGTTAGTGCCTCGACGAAACCCTGACCAAAATGGCACGGTACTCGCGCGCCTCGCTCTCGCTGCTTCTTCTTGCGTGTTGTGCCCTTATGCGGAGCTCCTACGGCTCGAGACCGCCTCCTCTGGGGTCGCAGAAGCATGCGGTCCTATCTCCGATGGTTCACGGCGCCGCCCAACCACGCCGCCTCGGCGACACGGAAGAGGGTGCGACTGGTCATCATGGAGTAGACGCTGACGATGATGCTGTCACAGCTTCCACGATGGGCGTGGGCGATGTTGTGCCGTCGGAGCAGAGGAAGGGATCAGGGCTGCCGGTGCTGCAGCAGGCGCTGGGAAGGATGCTGGGTTCGAAGCTGGCGCGGCGGATCCTCGGAGGGGAGGCGGAGGACTCGGCGGCCGGGCCGTCGTGCCACTCCAACAACGCGCACATCACTTGTGCCCCGCCGGCGCAGCACTGACCGGGCCGGGTGCTTCTTGCGAGTCCCAGCTGATTCCTTCATCCCTTGATGCTTTCATGTAAATTAACAGTAGCTCTTTAGATCTTGTTCTTCCAAAAATATGGAAGAATTGATGATAACCCTCCTTGTTGGTCTGCCTCTCGATCATAAACCCCTTTCCCACTGTTTTGCACTGTTTGATGCAAGACACAAAAGGGGCTTATCATCAAATCTCCCCCCAAAAAAATGAACCTTTCGTTATTGTTGATGATATATCATAGTACTTCATTCGTCAAGACAGTCCCTATAGTCTCCGATTCCATTTGACCCTAAAGTATTTATTACTTGGAAGGCGGTCGATCCTGTTGCTAGTGCATGGAGCACGTATATTGTTGTCGTTTTAGAAGCCGTCACTTTCCATGATTGCGTCTGATTGCGGGCGTGATGCAATCTCAGCACACCTTCAATTCCACTCCAGCTGAGTCCAAAGTCCAGTTCCAAGAATACGCGCACACGTACGTGTGCCGTGTGGGTAGGGTAGGTGAAGGCAGACATGATGCCAGGCAAAGTCCAAACCTATGTACGGAGCAATTCCGAAAGAAGAAACCGCCGACAAAGCCGCAAGTTTGACGACGTGGAAAGTAATTAAACATGCGCAGTTTCCGTGGACGGTTGTCTGTATATCTATCTATCTTGATTTTGTCTTTCATTTCCAGTGCCTCAGTAAGTGGATGTGAACAGCGCGAAAAGGTTCCTTCCTTTCGTGCGCTTACTATTCCGAATCCGTCGGACCCGAACTCAAATTTATTTTAACATGGCACAATCATAGATATTCACATATACTCATCTCTATGAACACGCGCTCGCACACACTATCACTATGCGCATATCCAGACCGACACAAAAATAGCAAATTTACAACGAACGTCTCGCAGTCGACGGGAGCGTCTCCTCTTACTGAATAAATATCGCCGGAAGACTAAAGTAAATCAAGAAAAATGCAAACACCAGTACCAAGCGTAGGACTTCAAACCCTGGTGGGCTGGTTTCACCACAAGCAACCTAACCATTTGAGCTACGGTCAGACCTGAACCGAAGTCCATGCATGGGCAGCCAGCCGGGGTGGGCGTATGTATTTGGAATTCTGGATATCATATATCCACAACACTTTTACCTCCTTTAATTTTCACAAGGTGGCCTCTTTGGGGAAAATGGGCGTCCTTTGTCTCCTCGTCGTTACATTTTGGTTTCACTATGCAAATCCCTCAATACGACGGTTCCATACAAGACAGTGTGGCAAAGCCAAGAGTTCGAAATTGTGATATCAAAATGTCAAATACATGTGTCTAGACAAATTTTGTAATATACTTCCTCCGTCTGAAAAAACTTGTCCCAAGCTTGTCTCTCAAATGGATGTATCTAGTATCAAATTAGTGCTAGATACATTTATTTGAGGGACAAGTTTTTTCCGGACGGAGGGAGTATTTCTAGGCGATTTTTACATGTTTTGCCAAAGTCATGTGTAGTAAACTGACTACATAGAACATCCACACATTGCCATTCTTCCATGGTAGTACTATTAGGCTGGTTGTAATGGGAAGTATCATATACTAGTATCATATGCATGATACTAGTATATGATACTATCTTCCTAATGCATAGTATCATATACTAGTATCATGTAGTACTTTATTTATTGCCATGCATGACACATAGTAATATAGCATTTCTTATGATACTGTATTATGATATGATACTCAACCCTCTTTTTTTTTCATTTAATTGTATGACACCTTATCAAACTTGTCTAGTTGGCATGCATGATACTAGATATGATACTAGCATTACGACCAGCCTTAATTTGAAGATGGTGTGGCAGTTTCGAGGCAAGGCAGGGCATAGTTTACCTAAACTATGCATGGAAGGGGTGACGAAACAACTCTGCATGCACGCATGCATGCAGTGTGAACATGGAGATGCAGCACTTTTACAGCTAAACGAATCCTTGATACCTATGTGCCAGCTGTAAAAGTGCAGCAGTAGTAGTATATTCCTTGCAGAAAGGTACACGTGTTACGCGTATAGAGTACGTACAGAAGCACGCACCGACAGAGGAAAAAATCCAAAATAAATCTTGAACTTCTAGGCAAAAGCTAAATCAAATCATGAACTCTCAATCCCTGAAATTAGCATACCAAACTCTCCGATCCCGGTCTATTTTGAATCTTGAGAAGATTTAACCGGTATTCGCTGAATTGGGCTGGCCCATTAACGTAGTTGCTCACGCTGCTCCGGTTTTTCTTTGTTTTTTATTTATTTTTTTCTTTCGTTTTTCTTCTGTTTTTGTCTTCATTATACTTCTGTTTTTTCTCTGGTTTTTCTTTCTTCGTTATAATTTTCTCTCTTTTTTTACTTTTTGATTTTCTTCATATTGTTTTTTTTATTTTAAATGTCACAAGCACATTTTTTTATTCTTTTTGAATCACACGTATATTTTTTTACACTGTCAAATTTGTTTTGAAATGCCACATACATTTATCCAAACTTGTGATATTTTTTAGATGTCACAAAAATATTCTTTACACATTTGGTCAGGTATCAAAATTTGTTCCTAGTTTTAGAATTTTCAAAAGGTGTTCGCATTCTTCAGGTTTCAAAATGTGTTCGCTTTTTCAAAATAGTTGTTTTCCTAAAGTATTCAGAATTTTCAAAAAGTGCTCACACTTTATAAAATGTCCGGACATTTCCAAAATTGTTTATGTTTTGAATATTTGTTTGCCCCTAAAAAATAGTTTCAAAGTTCAACGCTTGGTTAGGCACGTACCTGATGTGATAATTCAACGTACCTGCAGATTATTAGCAAGCTGCGTGCTCCCAAAGTTGAGCTAATTAGGGCCGCTGGTTAGGCACGTACCTGGGCAGCGTTGGTTCCATGGCCGGCCAAAAGCAGCACCCACACAACGGCGACGAGAACAAGTAATTTAGCCATCGTCGCCTCGGCTAATTTGCTTTGTGCTCAATAATGTACGTGGTGATGAGGAGAACACGCCACACATGCGCTTATATATATAGAGAGAGAGGCCGGTTTCATCCTGATAAATTTGGAAATGTTGGCTAGTTGTCTGTACTAGTGGCTAGCGGGATGAGCTCAACTCGGCCAGGTTCCAAGTTCGACTCTGCCTGAGTAGTTTTTGTCACATCGCGCTTTAAAGAAGTGAAGAAATACTTTTTACGTCATGTGTTAAGAAAAATAAAAAAATCTCGCTCGGTGCCTGATGGGCCGGCCCAGTCGAGTCCATAGCTGCTAACAATCCCCATGCCACATCGACAATTCCTGTTTGGAAACTCACTTAAGATTGAAAATAGACTGGGATCAAAGAATTCGGCGTGCTGATTTCCGGGATTTAAAGTTTGGGGTTAGATTTAGCCTTCGTTTACAAGTTTAGGGTTTATTTTGGACTTTTTCCCACTGACAGGTGGTGCGTGCATGTTTGTCATGCCGGCCGGAGGAGACACTGCGTAGTTTCCAGGTAGATTTTGGTTCTCTATGCTCAAGACGATGCTTATGTGTTTCTTCACCAGCAAGATAATTATAATTAGCAAGGCTTGGTCACATGCTCGGTGAAAACTGTACGTGGGGCGCCTTTCCTCGCCATTGCCTAGTCATTTCGGTCTATCTTCTCCACGTACGTCCCAACACCCTCTGTAAGTAGGTCATCTCTGCATTGCAAGCATTGCAGTAACAGTTCTATTCCTAGTTTTGTCACTCGTGTGGTAAAAGAGCCACTACTCACGTCACTAGTATAGTAGTATCTTCGAAAGAAAGCTCACATAGCTACTCCCTCCGTTCCAAAATAGATAAACCAACTTTATACTAAAGTTAGTACAAAGTTGAGTCGTTTATTTTGGAACGGAGGGAGTACATACCTAGTGCCTGGTGCCTCGGCAGAAACCCTGACCAAAATGGCCCTGTGCTCGCGCGCTGGTCTCACGCTGCTTCTTCTTGCGGAGACGCCGCTCGGCCGGCGCACACGCAGCGCCGGCATCGTCATCAGCGAGGGCGGCCGGCGCGCCTCCTCGTCGGCTCCTCCCCCGCGCTTCGTCAAGCCGAAAAAGGAGCCGGGTCTCGCGCCGGTGAAGACGGAGCCGGGGCTGGCTCCGGTGAAGACGGAGCCGGGGTTGCTGGCGCCGGTGAAGGCGGAGCACGACGGGGTCGAGCTCGACGATGACGTGGCCCTCGAATGGGCATGCCAAGACTCCCTGAAGATGGCGAGGGAGCGCCAGCGCGCCGCCCTAGAGCGCTTCGCGCAGCGCCGCCGAGGCCGCGACGAAGGCGGCATCGTCGTCGTCGACGACAGCGACGACGACGATGACGCGCCGCCGCCGCCGCCACCAGCCGGGGAGGGGTCCAGCAGGGGCGCCCGAGTCAAGGAGGAGAAGGCCGACGATGGCGGCGACGACGGCGACTTCTCGGCCTTCAGCAAGTTTTTTTTTGACTAGTTTTTATATGTAATGGCGTGTTTTAGCTCAAATTTGCGAATATAAAAGCCCATGTTTGCCGAAAAATGGCGTGTTTCAGCCCAAGTTTGTCTAATTTTTTTTTCACGCCTGGGGCCGGCCCTGGAGGCGGCGGCTGGGGGCCAACTCACCCCTATACCCACTTTTTGCGCCGGGTCACCCCCAGGCGGCGATTCACCTTTCCAAGTAATAAATACTTCGGGGTCAAATGGAATCAGAGACTATAGGGACTGTCTTGACCGGCGCGCGTTACGAGTGAAGTAGTACGTATGATATACGAGTATTATCATTCATCAATAACGAAAGGTACACATTTTTGAAAGAACAAGTTCGAAAGAGCTACTGTTATTTTATTTTATTTTGCGGGCGAGAGGTACTGTTAATTTACAAAGAAGCATCAAGGGACGAAGGAATCAGCTGGGACTAGCTAGCTCCTGCTCCTGGACTATAGCAAGAAGAAGCACCCGGCTCGGTCAGTGCTGCGCCGGCGGGGCACAGGTGAT